CATTCGCTCCAGGAACAGTTCTTTGTAAAAACATCCAGAAACTTGTTTTGTTTTTATAACTAAATACCTGAACCAAGAGAAGTTTCATTTGAAAATTCCAAGTGGATTTAATCATTCAAACTTGAGTTCAAAAGATTTGATTTAATTGTGGTGTTTTTTTGAAAAATGGATGGATGGACGGATGGATTGACGGACAGGCGGATGGATTGACTGATGGATGGATGACAGACGGACGGATGAATTGACAGATGGAGGGATGGATGAATGGACATATGGATGGATTGATGGACGGGCGGACGACTGGAAGGACAGTATGTGTGGATGGACTACCTGATTGATTGATGGACGGACGGATGTATTGGCGAACGGACGGATGGATTGTTAGACAGATGGTTGGAGGGATGGATGAGTGGAAGGACTGCTGGATTGATTAGACAGACAGACGGATGGATAGATAGATAGATGGACGGACGGATGGATGGATGAATGGATGGACGGACTGCTTGATTGATTGACAGATGGATGAATGGATGGATGGATAGAGGGATGGATTGATGGACAGAGAGATGGATGAATGTATGGAAGGACTGCTCGATTGATTGATGGATGGATGAACGGATGGCTGGGCGGAAAGATAGATTGAGGCACCAGGTGGTTGGATGGATGATCAGTCTAGACCAGGGACCACCAACTTTTTAAGGCTGAGGGCCACTTCAAAGAGTACTGAGTCATAGGAAGGGCTACCAATACTGACCTATGAACTGCAAAGGTCAGAGGTCACCTGAACTTTGTACGTTTTGAACACATTTTTAATGTTTCTTTTAATTTCTAATTTTCTGCTAGACATTTTCTTTTCGAAATCTCTATAAATACTTAAAAGCCATATATCATTAATATGATGAAATGCTCTATTAATGAGCAACAGAATACAACAACATTTCAAATTTAGCCCACTGGTGATTTGTTCTATTTTCAGAAGTTTCTTGAGGGCACCCCATGTAGTCCTTGAGGGCCCCTTGGTGGCTGCTGGCACAGCATTGGTGACCCCTGGTCTAGATGGACCTTCCTGCTGTGTACATCGCTTTCCTTCTTGCCTGAGCTCTTCCCGATGCTCCCGTCCTTCATGTTGTCCTGATGATGGACCAACCCAGACAGCAGCAGCATCCAGAACTCGCATACCCATCCTGTTAACTGGATTTGCTGCAGTTACTTATGAGTCTTGTCTCGTTTTCACTATGAAAACACTGTTTGCTTATTATTTGCTTCAGCTACATGACCCATTGAACCAAATGGATCTCCAAAGATCTGCGTAACCTTTAAGGAACTTCCAATGTGTCTCAGAAACCTCTGGAGAAGGGATTACACCAACTGGTGGCTGTGGCCAATCGGATGGTCGCTGCTACACCTTGATGTGCCCCTGGGCAAGACATTTAACCTGAAGTTTCTTTCCAACCATTGTTTTTTAGATAGGGTCTGTGTTCGAGCACTTTGAGTGGCGCCATGACATTAATTTAGACCATTTATTATTTTATGGTCATCAATGATAAATTTCCTCTTTAATAGCCTCTTTAAATGTGCATATATAGATCTTTAAGAGTCATATGATCATCCAGCAACATTTTAAAAATTAATAATGCAAACTAAATGAAGTAAATCAAAGCTCCTTTCTGTCTCGTTTGGCCTCCTGGCAGGTCAGAGCGTGTTCCTGATATAGATAAAGTCACTTGATGTCCTGATGCCAAACAAACACATCGATAGCAGAGCGACAGTGGAACCTCCTGTGCGAGAAGCTTTTCCTACAGTGGAAAATTAGTTGGACACACGGCTACTGTTTACCAGAGGGCCAATTGCAGCAACAGCATTATGCTGCCTCCAATTAGATTTGGAGGGGGGGGGGCTAGCTCATTTTCCTGCAGATTAAAACCATCCAGGATCTCTGGGAGGCCTCTGACCCTGACGGTGGAGCTGCCGTACTCTCACCATCTGCTCAGTCGGAGCCAGCCTGAAGCCAAGCGTTTCATCCTGCTGGCTGGTCCGTCTTTTGATAAGTTATTCAGCTTTAAAGTGTTATTAAATAAATACATGAAGTAGTTTCTTATCCTAATGTAGTTCGATTCTTTTAGTCTTTTCTTTAATTCCCTTCATGTAATTAAATTTTTTTCTGCAGCATGATGTGCTTACTTCATTTTTTAGAACTTTCAAAGATTGTTGGGAGTTTTGTATTTAGGTCTAAGCTACTCAGTGATTAATGTCGTAGGGAAGTCATATTGAAATGTCAAATAGTTGTGGCTAAAACATGTATATAAATGTACTCTTTATCAGACGATATTGTCCCAAAATTAAGGGAATTTCTATTTAAAAATAAATAATAATATTTTTTGTCTCAAAAAATTTTTTTCTTTATTTTATGTAGGCCAGTTAGTTGCCTGAACACCTAAATTCGGCCATATATCAACGGTCATCTGTCAATCAAATTTTTTCAGCCGTAGCATCTTGATTCAAATGTCGCAGCTAATAGATGCAACAGTTGAAATAAAAATCACTTACTTTACCATCTTCAGCAGGTGTAGAGCTAACAGAACTGGCAGCGTTGCGAGGCAAGGGCTCAAACATGTACGGCTGTAAGCCTTCTACACCAAACCAAGCTCCTGGCGTCCTCTTCCACAACATATTCGTCCCCGCTTTCCTCCTCTCAATAAAAAAATGGATGACGGAGGAGACTCATCCACGACCTCCGACACTAAACTCTCCTCCTCTTGCATGTTTCCGCTGTCCATAGCGTTCCTTGACAGTGTCGTTTCTAAGTCACCAATGTAGTTCTACTTGGTCCCAATGGAATTTCCCATTGGAACCTACTAGCACTGAGTTGCTAACTGGTTAGCAACGATGCTTCCGACAAACCGGCCACAACCAAAATATCTTGCAAACCTTCGGCCACAACAACCCCGCCCCCGTGATAAATGACCAATCACATTCACTTTATTCATTCGTGTAAAGTCGTGCACCACTCGGGAGAAACATGTTTGCATAAGATGAATACAAGGATTAATTACAAATCTTAGATTTCAACATATTTTTTGACTTTAGACTCTAGAAATTTGGACCTCCGCTGATACATTTTGTATTTACTGGTGTCTTACCTCATTCGATCATCCCCAAATAATGAGCTGCACATATTAGGGGATCAGTTGGACTAATATCAAATAATAATAAGTAGATCCCTACTGCTAACCACTCAACATTTGTCCTTATTAAACTAAATAGATTTTATTTCTCCAACCAACTGTGCGTAAAAATAAAGAAAAGCTTCCTAGAATACTCCCCCTCTCTCTTCGCCGTTAGAAAGAACTGACACTGGATTAAATGGTGTGAAGAAATGAAACTAATGACTGTAAGTGTGAGGCTGAAGGCTAACGGCTGTGGAGCAGCGGGGGAGACCCAGGAGAACATCGTGACCAGCTGAAGGCCCCGCTGGGTGCCGTCTGGATTAAAACAAAAAACAACACTTTTACACTCAGCCTTCCCTAAATTCACTGTGAAACTTTTAAACACATTTCTTTCAAATCTAATAATGGAGGTTGTGTGTAGCTAGAGTTTCTGCAGACATTATTCAACATTGTTTCATGGATCACAGCTTCCAGTAAGTCCTCCACATGGACAAAGGTCATGGGTAGGAATTTGGCTGCAGAGCCGCGGCCAAAAGGTGCTCGCAGCCGTTATGTCAGCCTCTCTCTGATTGGCTGAACGGCAGCTTCGGCCGTCACTAACCGTCCATCATCAGGCGGCTTTGACTTGGTGTTGACCGGCGCTTTAGAGCAAACACAGCTGTTAACGTCAGCTTCCCAACGGGGATTAAACACGCAGCTGCAGCCTGAACGGGCCGGAGTACGGAGCTAAGTTAGGGCCAAAATGTTTGTTAGAAAAAAGTGTTTAAACTGAAAAAAGAATAAATTGAAACACAGAAATTAAGAGAAATAATTTTTAAACTAAAAATGAAAATTTAAAATTAATTGATTATTGTAAATAAGATAACCTGCTTTTTTTTTTTTTTACTATTTGAGCAGTTAGTGTGCCCAGGACACAAAACTCTGGGGTCTGAGAGGTCTTTTGCAAACATGTCAGAAACAAAGAAATGATGAACCTGTTAAAGAAAGACGTCCTCATGATGGCTTTAAAGATTAGAAAAACAATGTTTGGGTTGATGAGAATGCTCTGAACTGTTTATTAGCAGGAATATCAGATAAGTCTGCTTGGTCAAAGGGATCTGTAGAGCAGTTGTCTGGAGGGTCGGTGTCCCTCCCTCAGCTTGTAGCTGTGGCCCTTGGATCCAAACATTAGCCAGGCTCTGCTAACGAGCTTATAATGGAGTCATATGAATCACAGAGCTGCAGGAATAAGGCCAACCTTTCCTGTTATGAAGAAAAATTTGTTCCAAGATTATTATTGAAAGCAAAGAACATGTTTTATTTAAAAGTACCGTTTTTGTTTTTTTTCCAAAATGTTGGGGGAAACTGATTTTTATCTACCAGTAAGTCTGCTCTGCCTGGATGGTAGCAACAGCATTCCTATCGGTCTGTGCACAGACCACCAGGATTAACTGAGAGGGAAATCTACAAAACTTATATTTATATGATTTGAAAGTCGTTCCCCCAAAATGTGAAAAAATAAAACATGAAAATAGATTAAAAATACAATCTGAAATTTTTTTTAAAAAATGAAGCCTAAAGAGAGTGGGAAAAAATTGAAAAAAAACCCCCAAAAATATTGGTTGAACTTTTACATATTATAAATTACTCTCCCTATAATATTGGAGCAGATTTCTCTCCATACCCTGTCAGGGGAGCTGATAAAGTCCATCTTTAAGTCATTTTTCCTGCTGTAGCTCATGAATCCTCTTGCCTGGGGGCATCTGGGACTGAAATGGTTCCCAGTCCCCCATCATACATCCAGCTTGTGATGTCAGAACAGTTCTAACCATAAACTCTCTTCTGTCTTTCCAGATGCAGCAACTCTTCTATGAGAACTACGAACCGAACAAGAAGGGCTACATACGGGACCTCCACAACAGCAAGATCCATCGGGCCATCACCCTCCACCCCAACAAGAACCCCCCCTACCAGTACCGCCTGCACAGCTACCTGCTCAGTCGAAAGATCGCAGATCTGCGCCACAGAACCATCCAGCTGCATCGGGAGATCGTCCAGATGGGGCGCTACGGAGCAGCTGAGCCCAACAAGGAGGACTTGCAGCTGGGCATCCCTCCTTCCTTCATGCGCTTCCATCCCCACCTGAGAGACGAGGTCCTGGAGTGGGAGTTTCTGACGGGGAAGTACCTGTTCTCGTCGTTGGACAGCCAGCCGCCGCGCCGCGGGATGGACTCCTCTCAGAGGCAGGCCCTGGATGACATCATCATGCAAGTCATGGAGATGATCAACGCCAACGCAAAGACGCGAGGCCGGGTCATCGATTTCAAGGAGATCCAGTACGGCTACCGAAGGGTGAACCCGCTCTACGGAGCAGAATACGTTCTGGACCTGCTGCTGCTTTACAAGAAGCATAAAGGGAAGACCATGACTGTTCCGGTCAGGAGGCACGCTTACCTGCAGCAGACGTTCAGCCAGATCCAGTTCAGGGAGGAGGAGGAGATGGACGCCATGGTGCTAGCGAGCCACATCAACCAGGAGTCCGACTCGCTGTCCTTCCTGTCCAACTCCCTGAAAATGCTGGTGCCTTTCAAGCTGAGCAGTTTGGGCCAGGACCAGAGGGAGCCCAAAGAGAGCAAAGTCAACATCCTGGTGCCGCTCTCGGGCCGCTATGACATCTTCGTGCGCTTCATGGCGAACTTTGAGAAAGTCTGTCTGATCCCCAACCTGAACGTGAAGCTGCTGATTCTGCTGTTCAGCACCGACAACAACGCCGATCGGGTGAAGCAGGTGGAGCTGATGAGGGAGTACCACATGAAGTATCCCCGCGCCGACATGGAGATCAAACCCGTGGCCGGCTCCTTTTCCCGGGCTCTGGCTCTGGAGGTGGGCTCTCTGCACTTCTCCAACGATTCCCTGCTCTTCTACTGCGACGTTGACCTGCTGTTCTCCAGCGACTTCCTGAAGCGATGTCGGACCAACGCCGCCCTGGGAGAGCAGGCTTACTTCCCCATCATCTTCAGCCAGTACGACCCAAAGATAGTGTTCTCCGGAAAGGTCCCGAGCAACAACCATTATGTCTTCACCTCCAAGACGGGCTTGTGGAGGACCTATGGTTTCGGGATCGTCTGCGTCTATAAGGGGGATCTGGTCCGAGCCGGGGGCTTCGACACCTCCATACAGGGCTGGGGTCTAGAGGACGTCGACCTTTATAATAAATTTGTCCAGTCGGGGATCCGGCTGTTCAGAAGCACCGACACAGGGATAGTACACGTCCACCACCCGGTCATATGTGACCCCAACCTGGAGGCGAAGCAGTTCAAGATGTGCCTGGGCTCCAAAGCCTCGTCGTACGGCTCCACCCAGCAGCTCTCTGAGCTCTGGCAGGAGAAGAACGACCACGGCTTCCGGAGGCTGGCCAGCAGCAACGCCTCGGTCAGGACAGCATAATGAAATCTACGCCTTCTGCTTTACGGCTCCCTCCTTTTTTAATTTATTTTATGGCAAAGAAAAAGGATTTCCTGTTGAAATAGTTTGAGCGTTTTGTGATGACAGGACTCGATGGAAACGGGCGGGGCAGCGGCGGTTCTTTCTCTGCACCTCAGTGAAGTACACGGTCTTGCTCTCCAAATACTCTGTCAGGTGTGTTTGTGTGTACTTTACAGACCAGAGTACTTGGAGCAGAATGCCCCTCCTGATTGGAATGTTTACACAAGGCCGTGCCTGGACGTGGTCCGATCAACGCTTGGCGAAAAAAACCAAGGAGCCCTTCAGTTAGATGTCTTTTTACCTGGTTTCCTTTTTGTTCATGTTTTTTTTGTTTTAGATGTTACACCATCACTGTTTCCCCCGCCCCACCCCCCTTTTTTAATATATATCTGTCATTTTTTATGGTTATTTTTTTAAACCCTCCTGCTGGATTTGATATCTGCAATTCACTATTTGTTGTCTAATTTATTGAATTTGCAGACTCAGTTTTCTACCTTCTGATTTTTTTGAACAGTGTATATTAAAAAGATTGTATAACCGCATCAGTAGTTGTGAAATAGCCTTTTTTGTTTCTTCTTCTTTGCGTATCTATTTTTGAAAATTGTCACCAAAGAGTTCTGCAGTCTGCTTTAGACGTCATGTTGCCTGTGTGAGTGAGTGGGTGTGTGTGTGTGGGCAGCGTGCTGCAGGTGTAAACATGGAGCTCAAATAAGTCTCCCTCCTGTCACGGGCCTTCCTAACGGACTGAACCGAAGGCCTCAGGTCAGCAGCAAAGGGGAGCAGAGCTCTGGTCGGCCATCTTGGTCGCATGCTGCCGTTCCTTTTTATAAAAGACTTCTTTGTTGGAATAAAGTGTTGTTTCTTGTTGCTGCCTGTGTGGGCGTGTCTGCAGTTTCTGTTCTGTTGCAATAAGAAATAAAGGCCAACGTTTGATCTTGTTTTCATGACTGTCGTCAGTCCCCCTAATTCTGTCGTTCCATGAATACCTAATGAGGATGGATGTGTGGGAAAAAAGCAGCTGAAGCTCCCTGCTTTTCCTTCGGAGGAATCCCGCCTCGGGGACATTCCTCTGATCTCAGCACTTAATAGCCTGGGATCATTTTTACCACAAGGTCTGTATGCAAACACTCCAGAACATTTTTTCCTTCTGCGTTTATTGAAAATGTAAATCATGTTGAACTGTGGCTGAGGGGTGGTGAGGGGGCTGTGGTTAAATGAAAGGGTGAAGCAGGGGCAGCTCAAAGAACTATTTTATTTTATTGTGCTAAAAGAAACGATGATTGGGTCCATACTCTTCTGAGCAATAGAATAAAATAAGTCATCTGTATGTCCTCCCGCAGCCTAAGCCTATAGCAGCATAACTGTAGAAATAGTTATGCTGTGTTGACCTTATGCTGCTGGAGGACATTTAACTTCATTTTAATGAACACTAGGCTGATAAGACCAGAACCTTAGCTCCAGCCTCAGCTAGCGATAGGCAGACTTGGCCTTGTGTTTTTATTATCTTGTTGGAATATCCAGGCATATCACAAGGTGATGAGTCACCCATTTTTCCCCCCCCTCATAACTCTGATCAATGCCAGGCAATTTAGTTCTGTATAGTTCACACACCCCAACCATGAGTGATACCATCAGCAGAATACAGTAAATAATATAGATGATCAGATGGGAAAATAAACAGAGTTGATTGTATAACAATGACTCAAATGTTTAATTATTAGTGGAGCATCATCATCTTCAAGCTTCCAGTCCCATGATCACAAATTAGGGAAACACATTTCTCTACATGGATATCTGTTCCTCCGTCTCTGCGATGCTCCATTTTAGAAAAAGGAAAGAATCAGATGCCAAAAATTAAATGACATTTGATCATTGTTCCTTCTTTTCTTTTTTGGGGGGGTTGTAATGAATCAAAAGGGGATGAATTGGAAACTTTTTAACTTATTCAGAAAAAAATATTTCCCTCATAATTCCCACTTAATTTGGGCGGAATGAGCTGCCAGTGTGGGTGATTAGGCAACACCTTTTACGCTAATTCCTGCTTTGGGAAGTGGCGGCCTAGTGGTTAAGGCAATGTGCTTGGAATCCTGAGTTCAAGCCCCACTCCCATGAAGTACCATTCTGGGTCCCTGAGCAAGACCCTTAACCCCTGCACTGCTCCCAGGGCGCCGCATAATGGCAGCCCACTGCATCCCCAAGATACGGAAGAGGATTAGGGTCACTAATTAATAGATTTTTAAATATTATTTCAGTTCAATATGGGAAAAAAGTCAGAATTCTGACTTTTTTTTTGGTCAGAATTCTGACTTTAATCGCTGAATTCTGAAAGCTAACAAACATATTAGCATCAAGCCGTAGTCATGTCTGTTTTAGAGACTATCTCTCTCTTTTTAATCACCTTCTGCTCTTCCATTAATGAAATAGCATCACCAGGGTCCCCTTGGGTACGTAAAAAATCCCAAATTCCCTCATTTTCCACCAATGTGTTACTGACCCTCCCAAACAACTTACATGTTTGTCAGTGAAGCTGGGTGCTCCCACATCTCTTCCTTCATGGTGCCCATCTACATTAAGATCCAAAATTCTGCGATTAAAGTCAGAATTCTGACTTTTTTTCCCCATTTTATACTGAATTCAAATTTAAAATCTGTTTCTTTCTTTTCTTTTATTTTTTCAGGGGCCCTAATCCTCTTCCGTACCAAGGGGATGGATTAAATGAAGAGTTATTGTTGCTCTATGCTTGTGAAAAGCAATAAAAAAATAATTTGTTTAATCCATGTAACATTGTAATTTTATATTCCCTCCAAAAAATAAGTTTCTAAACAATTTCAAAAAACAAATTGGCCGAAGAGTCTGCTCCTTCATGATCCAACATTTTTAATCTAAGGCTATCTAAATACAATTTTATAGGAGCAAATGCTGCACAACTTTGAAGGAGACTAATTCTAATGGTTTAATATTGTGTCTACAATAAGGAATTAGTTGCAGACAACAGGATTAGGGAACTGCGTGTTTAAGTCACGACTATCTAAAGAATGACATATTTAATATCTAAAAAATGGAAAATGTAACGAATTATTGAATAATAAATATCTCAAGAAGTTAATAAACCTGTGAGGAAGTGGATATTAAAACACCCTTTATCTGGGTAGCCGTTATCAGACAAACTCACAATGCGAATGATCTTTTCAGAGATTCGGAGCATGTTTGCAGAACATCCTAGTTTCCCTGCAGCCATTGTTTTCCGCCTGGTAACAGCAGGCCTATCAGCCCACAGCCAGCTGCTCCACCCACTCTGGCTCTCATGTTTACTAAGCCAAACTCGGGGGTTTCCTTTAACTGTTTGTCAGTGGATGTGAATTATATTTCAAAATGATAAAGATTATAGAACTTACAACGATTATCTAAATGTCAAAACTTGCTAAACAGGTTAGACATGCAAGTAAAGATAGTTTACCAGATTCTAGGAAGATGTTAAAAAGAAGCAACACCTTGCTCTTACTGTATCCTTCCTCTGCTGTTTACTTCCTGGCTGCTCCATTTTTTAAATTGACCTGATGATCAACGATCAGAAAAGGTGATCATCAGATGATTTACCGGTAGCTATACATTCTTGCTTTATGGAGAAAAAAATCACAAGTTACAACTAATGCTGACTGACAAGCATAGAGGTAAATCACCACTGTTATCCTGATATGGTTTGGTATCAAAGTATTTGGAGGACAATATGATATTCCCTGATATCACAATATCTGATAAGATTAGGATTTAATTCAGTTTAGTCTGGAGTTTATATGATTTGATATCATATGCTCATCCAATAAAATCATTTCTGTCTATACTACAACTTGATATATTTTGAATCCTCCTTCTCACATATAAAGCCTTAAATGGCCAAGCTCCATCTTATATCAAAGATCTGATTGTTCCTTATGTTCCTAACAGAGCACTTCGCTCTCAATCTGCAGGTTTACTAGTGGTTCCTAGAATTTCTAAAAGTAGAATGGGAGGCAGATCTTTTAGTTATCAGGCTCCTCTCCTGTGGAACCGTGAGGCAGACACCCTGTCTACTTTTAAGGCTAGGCTTAAAACTTTCCTTTTTTATAAATCTTATAGTTAGAGTGGCTCAGGTTATCCTGAGCTATCTCTATAGTTATGCTGCTATAGGCTTAGACTGCTGGAGGACAATTTTCATCATTCTGCTTCATTCCATCTCTATTCTCTTATTCTGCAGGTGCAACATTTGTAGGTTTAACTTCTAACTTTATGCTCTCTCTTCTTTTTCTCATCACAGTAACTTCATCTGGCCTGGTTCTGTTTGCCTTTGAGGTCATCCTTGATCAGAAGATCAGGGGTCCGTTTCATGAAGCAGGTTTACTGAAAAATCTTACGTTTTTCAATCAGAAATATGGCAAACTCTGAGTTTTCCGTTTCATAAAGAGAGTTTATTCAACCTCTGTTTCAGTCACTGTAGTAACACTCTCCTCAGAACTAAACTGGTCTCTAGCAGGTTTTCTGCAGTAAACTCGGAGCGTCCTCTGTCTCCACTCTCCTTACAGTCAATCACGTTTTATTTACTGATTCAGGTTTTTGTCGTAGTTTTGTGCATAAAAAAATAATAATATTCACCAGCTCCATTAGACACATTAGGTTTTAGAAACAAACATTGAATGTCCATTTGATGAGGATCTTATTAAAGAATTATCAACGTTTCTTCACAGAGAATTAAATATTTATAGGGTGAGGATTCAACTTACAGTAGTTGACAGGGAATGAGATTTATTTGTTTTTGGTTTGTTTGATATGAGCGAGATGCGGATAATTTTATTTTAATTTTGTTATGTTTATAGTAAATGAAGAACTTCGGAAATTATTTTCAGATTACACATAAATAGATTAATTCAGCGGGGGAAAGGAATGACTTTAGTGTTAGGATTAGGATTCATTCGATAACACCCCAAAGAGCCTACTGGCTCAATCCGAAGCCATTATATGGGACTAATATTCGCTAACAACAAGCATTTATTGGGACGATAACATACGAAGGGTGGCTGCAAACAGCCACTTAGTATTTACTGTCTAAAAGAAGACTGAATCAACATAAGGAGGAACCCATGAGACAATGAAAATATATCTATTAAAACAATGTTTTTAGACTGCCAAATGATTTCACCTATATAGATACATTGATTCACTACTATTAAAGAAATAAACCCATACTGTTATAATGGTCACAACAGGCTATGGCAAGCTGTTTGATATGTATAAGTTCTACTGAAAATGTATTCCTAATATCTGTAAATAATTTTTTCCTTTTCAAAATGATCATTTCAAACAAAATGACATTATTCACATCAGGGGCGTCTCTAGGTTTAAGACACAAGGGTGGCTCAGCCCCTAGAAGATAATGCGCGCGCATACCGCGCGCCGAATTTTTTCAGTGCACCTGCTAAGGCGTTGTCTAAGACAAGGGTGTAACTTTGTGTTGAAAGTTGGTGGGGACGGCTCATAAGGAAAGGGAGCTACCTGCGCGACGCCTTTTTATTTTTTGTTGGAAAGGATAAAGCCAAAAAAATGTGAATAACATTTATCAATTTAATGCTTACAGTTGAAAACATAACTGTTACAATATTCACTTATATATTTTGTGCAAAAATATCACATAAATCTAAACAGACAGTACAAATCAAATAAATATATCAATTTTGTAGAACATTTATTGACAGTCAATTTTGGGTCACTTTTTAAAATTAATTTACTTTTAAACCAGGACTCGGACAAGATCTTATGGGACCTTAAGCAGAATATGATTAAGCAACTCCGTCTTTCTGTCAAGAACATCCACCAGCAGGGTATCCAGGGGGGGATTTACCATTAGGCAATACTAGGCAGTTGCCTAGGGCCCCAAGTTCTGGGGGCCCCATAAAACTCTGTTTCCAGTATG